CCACTGCTGGGACCCACTGCTGGGACCCACTGCTGGGACCCACTGGTGGGGACCCACTGCTGGGACCCACTGCTGGGACCCAAGGTGTGGGACCCCCGCTGCAGGGACCCCGCTGCTGGGACCCACTGCTGGGACCCACTGCTGGGACCCACTGCTGGGACCCCACTGCTGGGACCCCGCTGCTGGGAACCCAAAGTGTGGGACCCCAACTGCTGGGGACCCACTGCTGGGACCCACTGCTGGGGACCCACTGCTGGGGACCCACTGCTGGGGACCCAAAGTGTGGGACCCCGCTGCTGGGGACCCAAACTGCTGGATCCCAAACTGCCAGGCACCCAAACTGCTGGGGACCCCCGCTGCTGGGACCCCAACTGCTGGGCACTGGGCTCGGGGCGTTCCTGGGATTTGGGGCGCTCCCGGGGGCCTTTTCCTGGGATCTGGGGCTGTTCCCTGGGATCTGGGGCCATTCTCTGGGATTTAGGGCCATTCCCTGGGATGTGGGGCCGTTCCCTGGGATTTGGGGCCATTCCCTGGGATTTGGGGGCCGTTCCCAGGGGCCATTCCATGGGGCCATTCCCTGGTTTGGGACATTATTCCCGGGTTTTATTCCCTGGTTTCATTCCCCGGTTTGGGGCATCATTCCCTGCTCCAGGCCCTCATTCCCTGCTCCAGGCCCCCATTCCCGATGTTTGTTCCTGGTTTCCATTCCCCATTCCCAGTCTCCATTCCCGATTTCCCGGTCTCCATTCTTGATTTCCCTGTCCCATTCCCCGTTCCCAGTCCCTATTCCCGATTTCCCTGGCCCGTTCCCTGCCCCATTCCCCGTTCCCTGTCCCATTCCCCGTTCCCAGTCCCTATTCCCGATTTCCCTGGCCCGTTCCCTGCCCCATTCCCCATTCCCTGGCCCGTTCCCGTTCCCATTCCCGGTTTCCCCGGCAGGAACCCGTCTCTGAAGCAGCAGCTCTTCTCCTACGCCATCCTGGGCTTCGCGCTGTCCGAGGCCATGGGGCTCTTCTGCCTCATGGTGGCATTCCTGATCCTCTTCGCCATGTGACAGCTCCTCTCCCGACAGTAAACCACGGAATTCCCTCCGGAATCGCTGCCTTGGGAGTTTTTACCTTTATTATTCACGTTTTGGGGGAGAGCCTGGCCTGGGTGCAAAATCCCGGGTCTGGCGTGGAAAACGAAGGTGGAGTTAACTCAAATCTGCAAAAATCCCCCCAAATCTGGGCCCTGGGAAAGCAGAGGTTGGGGTTGAGCATTGGGTTAGGGGTCTGGGATGGAATTCCCAGATTTCTCTATGGAAATCGCTGCTTTTGGGCTTTTTTACCTTTATTATTCACATTCTGGGACAGATCGTGGCCTGGCTGGAAAATCCCGGCTGTGGGATGGGAAGGGGAACCTGGGGTCAACTCGGATCTGCAAAAATCCCCCCAAATCTGGGCCCTGGGAAAACAAAACTCCATGAGAAAAGGTTGGGGTTGGATATTGGGGAGAATTTTTTCTCTTTTGGGGCTGGGATGGAATTCCCAGGGGAAATCACGGATTTCTGTACAGAAGTCGCTGCTTTGGGGTTTTTTACTTTTTATTTTTCACCTTCTGGGGCAGATTCTGGCCTGGGTGGAAAATCCCGGCTGTGGGATGGGAATGGGAATGGGACGAGGAAAACGAAGGTGGAATCAACTCAGATCTGTAAAAAATTCCACCAAAATTGAGCCCTGGGAAAGCAGAGCTCCACGAGAGGAATTTGGGGTCGGATACTGGGGAGAATTCCTGGGAATCCGTGGCTGCCCCATCCCTGGAATGTCCCAGGCCAGCTCGGAGCACCCTGGGAGTTGTCCCTGCCTGGGATTCCAGGCCCCTCCCCACCCAAATTCCCGGGAATTCCCAGAATTCTGGGAATTCCCAGCCCGGAGCTGGAGCTGTCCTGTCCCTCCTCGGAGCAGAATTCCCACAAAAACCCCGGAGCTGAGGGGATTTTCACCCCGGCTGCTCCACACCGCGTCCCTTTGAAAGCCAGGAGGAGAAATTCCGGAATCCCACCCAAATCCCGGGATTCTGGGAGAGGCAGCCCCGAGGGAGCTTGGCTCGTTACCTGCTGGAAGTAATTAAATTAATTAGCGCGGCCGCGCCTGGTGCCCAGAGCCTCCGGCAGCGGCTGCGAACTTCCCGGGAAGGGGAGCGCGTTCCTGGAATGGGAACGGGAATGGGAATGGGACAGAGGGAATGGGAATGGGAATGGGAATGGGACAGAGGGAATGGGGATCAGACATGGGAATGGGAATGGGACACGGGGATTGGGAATGGGACATGGGAATGGGAATGGGACACGGGGATTGGGAACAGGACAGAGGGAATGGGAATGGGACACGGGGATTGGGAATGGGACATGGGGATTGGGAATGGGACATGGGAATGGGACATGGGAATGGGAATGGGACACAGGGAATGGGGATGGGAATGGGACATGGGACAGAGGGAATGGGACACAGGGAATGGGGATGGGACACGGGGATGGGAATGGGACACAGGGATGGGAATGGGAGCACGTTCCTGGAATGGGAACAGACACGGGAATGGGAATGGGACACAGGAATGGGAATGGGACATGGGAATGGGAACGGGACAGAGGGAATGGGACACGGGAATGGGACACGGGGAATGGGAATGGGAGCGCGTTCCTGGAATGGAAACGGACACGGGAATGGGAATGGGATTAGGACACAGGAATGGGACACGGGAATGGGAATGGGACACGGGAATGAGAATGGGACACGGGAATGGGAACGGGCCAGAGGGAATGGGACACGGGAATGGGACACGGGGAATGGGAATGGGATTAGGACACAGGAATGGGACATGGGAATGGGAATGGGACACAGGGAATGGGAATGGGGATTGCTGGCTCTATTTGGGGACATTCCTGGGAATGGGACACGGAATAGGACACGGGGATGGGAATGGGACACGGGAATGGGACACAGGGAATGGTGGCTCTGCTTGGGGACATTCCTGGGAATTTGGATGGGTGGAATTCCTGAAGGGGCTGAGGAGAACTCGGAAAGCCCCAAGGTTTGGAGCCAGCTGGCTGTGGAAACAGAAGGGACTGGGGAGAGGGGAAATTCCCGAAATTCCCTGGATTCCGGGCGGGAATGCCAGACCCTGCACAGGGACAGCCCTGTGGGAATGTTCCGGAACAGCGCTGGCACCTGGGCTGGGTTACAGTTATCCGCCGGGAACGGGATGCAGGATTCCCGGGAAATGGGATGCAGAATTCCCAAAAAATGGGATACAGAATTCCCCGGAAATGGGATACAGAATTCCTGGGATACAGAATTCCCAGTGTCCCTGGGAAATGGGATACAGAATTCCTGAGAAATGGGATGCAGAATTCCCAAAAAAATGGGATACAGAATTCCCTGGATACAGAATTCCTGGTGTCCCTGGGAAATGGAATACAGAATTCCTGGGAAATGGGATGCAGAATTCCCTGGATACAGAATTCCTGGTGTGCCTGGCAATGGCATACAGAATTCCCAGACTCCCCAGAAAGGGATGCAGAATTCCTGGGAAATGGGATGCAGAATTCCCGGGATACAGAATTCCTTTCCTTCCCAAATCCCCTCTTCCCAAATCCTCTCTTTCCATCCCAAATCCCCTTTTCCATCCCAAATCCCCCTTTCCCCTCCCCAAATCCCCCTTTTCCATCCCAAACCCCCTCTTTCCCAATTTCCCCCATCCCAAATCCACCCTTCCCATCCCAAATCCGCCCTTCCCATCCCAAATCCCCTTTTCCATCCCAAATCCCCTCTTTCCCAATTTCCCTCTTCCCAAATTTCTCCTTTTCCATCCCAAATCCCCCTTTCCATCCCAATCCCCCCTTTCCCCTTTCCCCTCCCCA